GCTAGAATTGACACTGACTTTGGCCTGCATTTTCAGTGTAGTTGAGGGGCTGTGTACTCTCGGTATTCCTCTTGCCTCAGCCTCCTGAGTGCCGGAATTACAGGCCTGTGCCACCATGCCAGGCTGAGTTTTCCTTAGGTTGATGAGCAGCTGGTCTATTGCCCAGCCCTACCGTGCTCATTCCACAGCATTCCAAGCCAAGCAGAAACCTCATTTGTAGATGTGTTGCTTTGAACACAGGTTAGAATGAGATTTGTATTTCTGTGTACTGACATGTTTATTAGTATCAAAACATGAATAAATAACACCTAGAAATGAGAAATGACCTAGAACAGTTAGTAAATGCTTGGGAATGGTCGAAGGGTCGGTTTAGAATGTGTCACATCAGCATGGTTGTGGACCTTAATGTTAAACTTTTATCAAATCCAACCCTTGGCTTCCTGTCTTCTTAATGCTTTGTCAGCAAAATAGAAGGAATGCAGATGTCCTGCTGCAGAGCAGAGAAGACGGTCATCTTGGGAAGTCTGCTGTGATGAACCAGCAGCTGTTTTCGTGGAGCCCTTGTTTTCCTGGAGTACTGCCTCTGTTTGAGAGAATGAGGACAGGCATGCTGGTCATTTAGACCCGGGGACCCGGCCCCATTTTCTGGGTTAGTGAAGTGATCCCATCTGGTCACGGCAAACTAAATGCCTGTGTCTGCCAGTGCTAGGACTTAGGGTTAAAGTCAGAGATTGTACATTTTCAAAACCTGTCCTCACCACTGTGAGCCTGACAGCTTCCTTATGCTTTTCTTATGAGATAGGTGGTAATATTACCAAGTGTGATTTTTTTTTAAAAAACTATCAACAAGTTTGTCAATACATTTTCCATATAACCAATGGGAGACATCACAGAACCTTGTCCGAGTAGAAGGACCATCCTTAGGTCAAAACAGACCATGGACTCAGTGTAAAAAGCCAGATGAGTATTGGTGAAGTGTTAGATTCACCTTGTACACAAACCTTTAAGAAACTCATATGTGGTTATGCCTCGGTGTAGTGTCAGAGGCTGTTAAAGAAGTCTCCCTTTATCCCATCACAGAGCTGTGCGAGGCGAATTTTCTTCATGTACTTTAACCAGAGCAGCATTTTGCAACAAAGTGAACATAATAGCAGATATAAGAATCCATGTGACTTTTAAAAAAGTCAGATATTTATGAGATATTTGCAAAAGTGTAAAAACAATGCCTGTTTTCTCTCTTTATTCTCTTTTTGAGCCCAGGCCTTCATATTGAAGTACATCCCCAGCCCACTTTTTAGTTTGAGATAAGGTCTCCCTAAGTTGCCCATGCTGTGTTCAAACTTGGAAACCTCCTGCTCAGCCTTCCATTTTGCTGGAATCACAGGCGGGACCTCCATGCCCAACTTCACTGTTGTGAATATACGCTGTATAAAGGTGTGTTATCCGTGATATTATGTAATGGGCTTGGTGCTCTTTTAAAAATTAAAAAATAGTTTGAAATTTCTCCAAAACACAGATCCTTGGTATGCTTGGTAATATAGGGTGTAAAAGGTTCCTGAGACCTAAAGGTTTGAGAGTTGCCGTGTTGAGAGAACATATACTAGTTTCCTGATACGATGGCTAAGACAAGCTGTTGATATTTTTTTTTCTTTCTTTGAGATAGAGTTTCACTATGTAGTTTAGGCTGGCTTTGAACTCATCATGTAGCCCAAGCTGGTCTCGAACTTGTGGTGCGATCCTCCTGCCTCAGCCTCAGCCTCCCACCTGGTATTGCAGGTGTGTAACACCATGCTCAGAATGATGCTGTGTTTAGGAATTAATTTCCGGTGATTTCTGTCAAATCTTATATTAGTAGCGTAGAAATACTCATGCAGCCAAGGAATTTTTAATGCATTTTAAATGCATGGAAAGTGGCAATCAAAAACTCAGATTCTGGAAGAAATTCTTTAGAAGTTTACAGCTCCAGGGTAGAGAGAGTTGGAGATGGCCCAAATTGGAGCAAAATCTGCCTGCCTCCCTCCCTCCCTCCCTCCACCTCTTGCAGGCTAAGCAGGGGCTCTGACTCTGACCAGAAGTGCAGCAGTAAGTGTAGAGCATCTGATGGGTGGCCCTGTGATGATGTCCCGTCCCACTGATTGCTGAGAGTGCCGGATGCTGCCGGGTTTCCTTCAAGCTTCTTGTCTTTCTCCTTTAGTTTATTTTCAGACAGAGTTTCATTTACTTATTTTTGCCAGATGCATCCAACTTTCTCTAATTCGCTTTCTAGATCTTTTTATTATTATCTCTCTTTTTTTGAAGACAGAATCTCACTGTGTATTATTTCAGGCTGTCTTTGAGTTATAGGCATGTTCCACCACAACTAGCATTTTAATTATCTTTTACCTAAAAAAAAAAAACTATTTCTAGCATTTTTTCTACATTCTGTGGTTCTTGGCCATGGCAGCCTAATGCACTTTCAATCTTAATGCTACTCAGAAATGAGTCTGTTGTATTCCTTGTTTGGAAACTCTATTTAAAAATTGCGTGTGGTCTAAAAATACTTTGGTTGTAAGGGCTGATTTTTAAATAAGTTTTAAAGAAGGTTCTTTGTCTTATTTTATGGTTTATAACCTACTATCTTATTAGTACTCTTCCTTGATGTAAACTTAAAAAGAGACAATTTCTAATTTAGGATCTCAACACATCCCCCCAAATCTTGAAGTGAGTCTCACTTGTATCATTATTAGTGTGTTTATATATATATATATATATATAAAAAAAAGTTAGGTCTTGCTATGAAATTCAGGCTGGCCTTGAACTCACTATGGAGTCCAGACTGACCTCAAACTCACTGCAATTGTCTCTGTGTCAGTCTCATGAGTTCCGGGATTACACACTTGTGCCACCACGCTTGGCTACTGTATTAATTATTTGTCTCTTATTAATAGCAATAATAGATTGAAAGTGGGATACGAGTAGTTCTATTGAAGGTATTAGTGGTTGGTTTTGTTATCATGGCACATTATTTTAATGGTGTATGCATCAGCGATGTGGAAAGATTTTATAACCAGCCACGTGAGAAGGGTAAAATTATACAGACCTGCGAGATGATGAAGGTTGAGCCGTGTAAGTGCACTTCCTGGGCCATGGCTGGAGCTTCCTGAAAGGGTCCATTTCGTCTAGACCTTGTAGACAGGAAAGTAATTGGAAATTAAGGCCAGAACTTTGGGCAGCTAGTTAAGAAATAGAAGTGGGCATGTTGGAGGGGTATAGTGGCTAACCCTGCTTGCTTTCTAGAAAGTGCTCATGATTGGAACAGCCGCTGGCCGATTCGATTCTGCCTACCTCTTGAAACAGTGCCAACCTACTAGTGCTGTCCATTTGCCACATGCCACTGTGCTGCCAAAGAACATGCAGCCTGCTACCTCGGCAGGGTTAGTCCCCTTTGGGAAGTCCTTGGCCTGGCCGTTGGGGCTCTTGTCACCTTCAGAGTCTCTTTAGAACTGTGTTACTTCTGGAATCCTCTCTATGAAAAAGCCTGTTTAATTTTCAGAGTTCCCTCTAGTATTCTTGTACTGTTCCTCCTGAAATACCTGTGTTTATGAGTGGAGCGGTGCCCTTTCTGGTATTTAGGAGATGGTGTCTCTGCTCTTCGTTACTCCCCTCTCCTCCTGTGGCACATCTACTGCCCACCTTTGCCAAAACAGAGCTCTTCAGGAGAAAAACTTCCAGACCCATGGGCCCTAAAGGAAAGAGTGTGTTTTCAAAATTTATTTTAACAACTTCACACGTAATGGGGGTGGGAATTAGATCTACAGGAGGAAAACCAAAGCCCTTACCTCCTCTTGGGTCATTTGTGCAATTGTGTTCTTCATCTCAGTCCAGGGCAGCAAACAATCATAGATCTGTCTGAGTATTTGAAAGCCTTTTCCTTGGCACTGCTGGAATTCCGTGGAGCGGATATGACAATGGTGGCTTACCCCAGGGACAAAAAGGGTCTTCCTGAGGTGGTCTGCAGATAGTTGGATTGCAGCTGCTAGAGCCCTGTGTAGAGTGGGATTTTTACATCTATTCAGTGTCCTGTATAAGTCTTGGGCCCCCAAAAAAAGACATTCAGGGAGTACTTCACGAAGGAATAAATGAGGAAGAGAACCTCCACTCTGGGGAGGTGGTGTGCAGCACAGCGGGCAGAAAAAGGGCTTCCTGGAAACAGTGGCTTTTTGGGGGATACTGGCTGGTTTGCATTTGGAGCAAGGGGGAGGGAGTTTTGCCAGTGTGGCAAGCATGAGACAGGCCAAGGGAGCTGAGCTCTTTTCACCCCACATAACTGCCGGCGCTGTCCCTCACTTCCTCTTTGTTCACATTTCAGTTTATTAATAGAACTTTTACTCATTGTCCTGTAGAAAGGATTGTAAAAATATTCTGTCATCCCACCAGTACTGAAAAAATGCTTGGTTTTAAATCATCTACCATCAACTTAATCTGTTGGGACTTATCATCATCTGATCTATGATTATTTCCCCTAATTAGAATATAAGTTCTAAGAGGCAAGGCACTGTTTTGTTTTTTGCTTTATCGTTAATGTCCCAGATAGCTCCTGGCTTAGAGTAGGTAAGAAATCACATGGAGTTTGAGTGACTGAATGAGAAGTAGTCCAGTGTGCGTCCTAGGAACATGGGTCACCATGTGTGTCTGGTGAACATCACAGCATCGCCCGTGGTTGGGTGCCTGAAGCATGTGGAGAGGGAGAGCTCCCTGATGGGACCACTTTGTGGGGGTCGCCGGCTCTTGAGGCAGGGGGTGAGGGGTGCGGGGGAGCCCCAGGAAGGGAGGCCATAGCCGTCAGGACTTAGAGGGAAGGAAAGTCAGGCGGGAGTGTAGAGGGTGCTGAAAACTCATGGGACAACGCCATTCATTCCTTTTGAGTTGTCCCTTGTTTATTTGAGGTGATTCACTTTCCTGAAATGTGTGATTATATCAGAACTACATTGTGCTAACCTAATCTGTTCTTTTCATGACAGGAGGCTGAACAGTACTCAGGGGGAAATTCGTGTTGGTCCTAGCCATCAGGTAAATCTTAGTAGCTTCTTTAATAGATTTTTATTTCTTGTTTTTCTCCAGGCCTTTTATTCTACTGAGCAGCATCTTAGAACTGTTGTTATTACTATATGAAATTTTATATATATATATATGTATATATATATTTTTTTTTCAGATCATCATATACTTTAATCAAACTGTAAAATAAACACAATGTAAAATTTGCCATTGTAACCATTTTTAAGCATACATTTGAGTGACATAAAGTATATTACTATTGTGCAACCATCACCATATTCCACCTCCACAAGTCTTTATTGTGTGAAACTGCAGCTCTGTCCAGTAGGCAGGAATTCCCTGCTCCCTTCTGCCCTAGCCCCGGCCCCACTGTTTGCTTCCTTTCTCTGCATGTTGGACTGCTCTGCCCCAGACCACTTAGCTGTTTGTGGCTGGCTTACTGACAAGAATAGTGTCCTCACATGTTGCAGCATGTGTCAGAATTTCCTTCCTTTTTAAGTCTGAATAATTCATTGTGTACCTGTATCATGGTTTGCTTTTCTGTTTACCCACTGATTCATATTTGGTTACCACATATATTTATTAGAAAATATTTTTAGATTGTGGGTGTAGCTCAGTGTTAGATTGCCTGAATTACACACGTGGGCTTTGGGTTCAAGCCCAGCACTGAGAAAAATAAAATTTATTTAAAAAACCCCAGCTTATCCTGCTTGGAGTAGTGGCACATACCTGTAATCCCAGCACTTGGGAGTCTGAGGCAGGAGGAGTTATGAGTTTGCGGCTAGCCTGGGCTACATAGCAAAGCTCTGTCTCAAAACAAACAAATAAACAAAAATAAAAAATACCCCACCCAAACAAAACATCCCGCTTTTCCTTCAGAAGAGTCAGAATGGTTAGTACTTTGCAGTTGGAACCTTGTGTTGTGACCTGTGCCTTCTTGTGTTTTGCTCAGTTCACTGATTATCCTGTTTTTGATCTTTTAGTCAGGAGGCTTGGACTGGCATCCTCTGGCTCAGCATGGTTCACATCCCACTGACTGTGAGCCTGGCTCACTGGGCTTTTCAGAGACTCTCAGTGTCGCCTGTCCTCTTCTGGCTGGCTTCCCACAAAGGTTGCCAGCTGCGTTTCACTTATTCTGACGCTTTTTTAATTCAGATTTTATCTCTGCTTTTGGGTTTCCTTGTGTGTTCTGTGGTGTGATTACAGTTCATTGACCACATTTGTCTTTTTGTGAGCACATAAAGTAGTAATGGATCTTACAGTTAATTATAATATAAAGTTTGAGAAGAAGATCCTTCCTTTTTTTCCCTTCAGGAGCTAGGACATTCTCCCCAGAAAGTCTCCAGTAGTCTCCATCTCTGCGGATTGGGTCCTGTACTCCTTTCTAAACCCTGAGGAGAGCCGGGCTAGCGTGATCAGCATGGATACCTGCCTATCACAGGTAGACACATCAGGTACAGGCAGCAGTGGTCCTTAGAAGGGCATAGAGGCTGTAGGTGCCTCCCAGCTCTTCATTTTTCTGTTTAGATTCTAAACATTTTTTGTATGCTGTTCACATTTTTAAAGAACCTAGTTCAACTGTGTAATGAGAAAAAAATTTTAAATGAAGATATATTACAACCAAAACTCCAGAAAACATGAGATGCATGCAATGCCTGTTAGACATTCTCATTGCAGAAATGGAGTTCAGCTGATACAGGCAGGACGGAACTGTAGGAAGGCGCCCCATGTTGTCTGTCTTGTCGCTTGCAGCCTTCTTAGGCAGCTGGGTGAGCTGGCCCTGACCAGCACAACTGGACTGCACTATTTTTGTCCACTTCTTTTCCCTCCCATTGTGTTTCCAGTGTCCGTATATCTTTGTACCTGGCTTCTATTTTATAGATTTGTTTCTTACTACCACAGAAAAAATGGCTCCTAAGTAAAAAATTCTTACATTCCTAGGCAAGGATCAGATTTACTATGCTTGGATTTTTGTATGCTCTTAAATCTGATATTTAGTTAGCATTAGAAAATCCGTTTATATGCTTTATTTAAAAAAAGGAAGGTTTTAGAGCACCCAAATTGGCATCATCTACCTTCTTAAAATTAATCATTTTAATAGGGAAGATATTAACACATATAAACGCAGGGAAAAATTGTTTAAAAAAAAAAACAGCCCTTACGCAGCCCTCACAAATATGGTCAGAGCCAGATTGTTTCATTTATTTTCCCTTACACCTCTTCCCACTGTTATTTTGAAATGAGTCACACATATTCCATTTTAATTACAGATATTCCAAAGAGACAGGCTTTCTTTTTTTAAAAGATACAATCACAGTATATCATACCAAATAAAGTTTAACAGTTTCTTAATATTCAGATGTCTACTGCAACCATCTTTCCCTCTCTTTATAAATAGTTCAAATTAAAATCTACATAAGAGATATTTATTGAAATCTGTTGACCTGTCATTAAATCTCTTTAAATTCACAGGTTTCTCTCTCCTTTCATGTCCTCGGTGTATATATTGAAGAAGTGAGAGTTTGTCCTATGGGATAACCTGTACTGTAGCTATGGCTGATAGCATCTTCCCATTGGGGTGTGTGCAGTCCTAGGACACAGAGCCAGAGCCTTGCATGTGAGAGGCAAGCATTCTCCCCCTGAGCTATGTCTCCAGCCTTTTACAAAACAGTTGTAAGACAGGGCCCCCCTAGTTGCCAGCCTGGCCTTTTGCCTTGGCCTCTGAGAGATTACAGGTGTCTGCCACTGTGCCTAGCTGATTGCATCTTTTTGTGCTATTAAACCTTTTTTTAAGCAGTTCTTGTGATTGAACCAAGGACCTTAGCTCTGAGATATAACCCCACCCCTTTAAAAAATGTTGGTTTCCAGACAAGGTCTCACTAATTCTCTTGAGTTGTCTGAGCTGGGCTCAAACTTGCCATCAGCCTGCCTCAGCCTTCTGCAGTGCTAGGACTAAAGGCATAAGCCATCACCACCATGCCCAGCTTGTTCCTTGTCTTTTGCATTTTTCTCTGCCTGTCTTCCTGTCCCCTACCCTCCCTCTGGCCCTCCTCTTTTTTGAGACAAGGTCTCACTATGTGATCCAGGGTGGACTTGAACTCTTGGGCTCAAGTGATCCTTCTGCCTTAGTCTCCCAAGTAACTAGGAATACAGACACAAACCAGCATGCCCAATTTCTCTTCTACATTTCCTAATAGTAATTAAATCTGTTACATTCAATCACATTCCATTCTTCAGTTACTAATTCTAGGCCATTTCAGTCAATATGCCCCCACTGAAGAAAATCTAATAAGCCCCCACCAAAGATAAAGTACAGTCTGAGTTCATACTGATACTTCTAATTCAACTCAAAATTTTATCTATTGCGTGTGCGCATGCGCGCGCACACACACACACACACACACACACACACACACGCGCGCGCGCACACACATTTATTTATTTAATTTTTTTTTCTGAGATAAGATCTCAGTGTGTAGATCAGGCTGTCCTTGGATGCACAGTAGTCCTCTTGCCTCAGCTCCCGAGTATTGAATTTATAGGCATGTGCCACCACGCCTGGCTTTCTAGCGCTTATATTAGCCTTACTGTTCTGTCATCTATATCTGTATCTCTGTCTCTTAAATCTAATTTTTAATGACACCAATATAATAATTTGTCCCTGTCCCCCGTCTGTCTCGACAGGCTAGGGTGTTTATTTATATAAACAGCTTGGAATTCCAAAGCCGATAGATACTGCTACAAGCAACATGAAACGTGTGTGTGCTGGGATTGAGCGGAAATGTTATTTTTTGGTGCTAGGGTTGAAGCCAGGTCATTGTGTGTGCAAAGCATGTGCTTCACCACTGAGCTAAACCCATCCCATTGAAAGCCACACACATTTTGCTGTGCCCTTGGATTATCTCTCACTTGGGCTCTATAAGCAAATTAATGCATTTGAGTTACTTGAAGTAGTTCCTAGAACAGAACCAATTCAATACATATGAACTAGCTGGGCAAGGAGGCTCATACCTGTAATCCCAGCATTAGGGAGGCTGAGGCAAGAGGATTGCCAAGAGGTTAAGGCCAGCCTGGGCTACGTAAAGAGACACAGTCTCAAAAAAACAACAAAATAAAACAAAACACTATTCTTAATTTTTGTTTTAGAGTTTTATGAGATGGTTATTCTTTAAACTTATTTTTACTCCCTTTCTCTCTTTCAGATGAATGGTAGTATAATATGCACACTTTCCCCCTACCTTTCCTTTTTATTCCAACATTCCACCCTTCCGTTTTCCCCATGGCAGCATCCAGCACTCCTTCTCATTCCCTTCCTCCGAGTGTGGGTGGGATAGTTTGTTTTTCCATCCTGTGCCTGGTTATCTGTCACGTTCCCTGCAGTGTGGTGGTGAAGGGTGTGCAGATTGGTGTTTATACTTTTGCAAGTTCTAAAGTTTAGGTCACCAGAAGGGTGTGGCTGGCCTACAGGGCAAGTGTGTTTGCATTTTGAGGATTTTACCACATTGCCCTCTATAATCATTGTGAAAGATGTTAAATGGCATCTGTGTCATTAATTTTCATTTCTGTCAACAAGGCTGACCATCGTTTCCTGTGATTAAAGCTGCTGCCATTTCTTTTTCTGTCTGCACTAATTATCTGTCTAGTCCATTTTTTAGGGGGGGTGGTTGGTCCTGTGTCCTGCTTCTTCAGAAGAGTACTATTCAATAAGTGTAACAAACAGCCATTGACTGTACTTGGTGCTGAGGAAACAGAGCTCAGTACTAATGTCGAAGACCTTTTGAAACCATTATCCGTTGTGTTTTCATTTTACCCCAATATCTTCACTAAGCAGAACTAAATTAAATGTTACAAAGTCAATGTTGTGTCAAAGGACAGCATCCCAGTTTGGAGAAAATCAGAGTTGCACATGCATTGAGATATATCACAGACAGCCAGAGAACCACAGAGCCTACTCACGTTGTGTTTTGCTCCACATTTTTCTTAAAACCTTAAATATTCAGCATTGAAACTGAGCATTCACATAAAAGAGAAGATTTCTGTACTGGAAAAGCACTGGAGTGATACACACACTGTTTTCCATCTCTGCCCGTTGTTGACTGGATGCTGTAGCTCTCTTTTTTCACCATTGGGTACTTCACTCCAGACACCTGCGTGTCCCACGAGGATCCACTGCCTCATGTGGCTACTAAGCACTTGGCAGTATGACCAGTGGAGTTGGGTGCTAAAAGTCCACACCTTGAACGCTAACCATGCAGCTCCCCCTCACGTTGGCAGTGAGGGCGTTTTCTTGTATAGGTCCAGCGATGGTGGAAATCATGGTGGAGAAGCTCACCCTTACTTTGCCCCAGCTCAGCGGGACTGAGAAAATGCTGGACATGTTTTAATCTGATGACTTAGAAATTTGGTTGTTGAGCACTATTGCTAAAGATCCAGTAGGTTGTTGAAGTATTTTATGTATGGCAAATTGTTCTTGTGCACATTGTTAGCTTGTGGTGGTGATTCATGTTCAGACACAGAACATTTGTGTTATCTGCGAAGCTTCCTTAATCTCCCCCAGCTCCCACAAACAGATCTGTTTCTAGCACCACAGCTCCAGTCACCCATGCTTTCCACTTAAGTAGTTCATTTTTATTGTTGACTAAGGTTGATATTGCTACTCACTGTCTTGAGAGTAACACTAATAGGATAGTTCATTAAAAATTTTTAAACAATCTTTAGGTGAAGTTTTGATATTTGTGTGTGTTCTTTGTAAATCTGTTACAGAGGAAATGTATACGTGTATTGCTTCTTTATCAAGCAGTGGTAATCCCCTGGGGATGTTTCTGGTTTTGTTTACTTTATTCACGCACTTCAATTTCTGATTCATTCTGTGGATCATGTTGACATAGGATTTCTCTGACCCTGTCTGCTGCTTCCTAAATAGCAGTGAAGCAGTCTGTTGTGACGCCTTCGATGGTGAACTGGTCCTGACCTGTGGGATAGGCCAGGTTAAATGTCCACATTTTTCCTATTACTTTTCTGCTGCCTAAAGAGAGGCTCAGTAAATGGCTGTGTCTGTTCTCAGGCACTGCCTACTGAGAGCGCTTTTTGGTTCGTGCCTCGATTATGACTTCTTCGTCCCTGTCTTACAGGCCAAACTTCCAGATTTGCAGCCATTTCCTTCTCCAGATGGCGATGCTGTGACCCAGCATGAGGAGCTGGTCTGGATGCCTGGAGTGAATGACTGTGACCTCCTTATGTACCTGAGGGCAGCAAGGTAATAGAAGCCAGCCGTGTCCCCCTTTCTCAGTCAGGCCATCTGAACTGACTAGCAGGCAATACACTTCTCCTTTTCCCTAGAATTTTATTTGTCTATTGGGCATTCTCTGACTTAAGTGTTTTGCCTTTTTTTTTTTTTTTTTTTTTTTGAGACAAGGTCTCACTGTGTAGTTGAGACTGACCTGGAACTCACTGTGTAGCCCAGGCTGGTATAGAACTCATAGCGATCCTCCTGCCTCAGCCTCCCAAGTGCTGGGATTATAGGCATGTGCCACCACGCCTGGCTTCTGGCTTAAGTTTTTCTGTGCCCTCTGTAACCAGGGCTCTGATCATCTTATAAAAATGGTTTGCCATGGTAAAGTCATTTTTTTCTTCCTGGTGTTTGACCCACTTTGGATTTTGTTTTTTGTTTGTTTGTTTGTGTTGATACCAGGGATCAAACTTGGGACATTGCACTTGTGAGGCAGGTATGGTGCCACTGAGATAAATCCCCTACCTCCCACATTGGACTTTGGAACTTTTCAGAAGGGAAATATCTTAGGTCACACATGTGATTGGCAGCTCCTCTCACTCCAGCTGAGTAATGGAGTTGTTTACCCCATCTTACAGCACTACTTCGAATTCCATTGCTCGCTCTCCCTCTTGGCTGTTTGCTCCTCCCCCATCCAAACTGGACGTTTTGTGGCTTACCTACATGAGGATCTTCTTCTGTAATAATTTTTTGTACAACTTGCCAATGTGCAAATGCCTGCCATGCAAAAGAGAAGTTTAAATCCTTCCTGATATGTCATAGCATAGGCAGAGATTTTTGTCTGCAGTGGTTTTGGGATTTACTGCAGCATTGCCAGCGTGCAGCAGAAAAAACACTCGAGAAAGGCTCCAGGCATCTGGATTCTCACTGGCAGGCCGCAGTCAGCAGTGCCACATGTGGTGTGGAGAGAGGATGATGTGAACATGGAGTGAATGACTATCTCTTGACATTTCATTTTTAATTTACCTAAAGCATGTTGATGTATAGGTGAGAGGAATTAAATTTCAGAGGAGGTAATTCTACATGTTTTTCTATAAACTTTTTCAGTTTGGGCCAGGGATTTATTTAGCTCAGTGGTTTTGTGGCCTGCCTTACAAGCCCCAGGTCCTGAGCTTGATCCCCAGCACCCCCCACCCCATAAATACGCTTTCAATTTTTTAATTAATACATAGCAATTAATCATGTGGAGACATTTAAAATTTTTATTTTATTTTAATTTTTTAGTAGTACTGGGGATTGAATCCAGGGCCTTCACAGGTACTACATCCCCAACCCTTTAATCTTATATTTTGAGACATTATCTCACTAAGTTAACCTGGCTGGGTTTGAACTTGTGATCTTCCTCCTGCGGCCTTCCAGAGTGCTGAGATTATATGCATGTGTGACCACACCTAGCTGAGATTTCTTTCAAAAGATTGTAACTTAGAAAAGTATGGTAGTAAGTGCACGGAAATCTGAAACTTAATACTACAAAAGCAAGGGCAGCAATAACAGATGGCTCCAACCAAAGCACTTTTTCTACTTCTGACGGACAGAGGCAGTACTAAGGGCCCTGGTTTATATGCAAGTAGGAATGGATTGTGTCTGGGTTGAAATGTACTTTGAAAACTGAGGGGTAAAATCTCTGTACTGACTCTCCTGTGTGCTGATGGAGGAAAACTTCCCTTTCTTCTGAAGGAGCATGGCGGCATTTGCAGGGATGTGCGATGGAGGCTCCACGGAGGATGGCTGTGTCGCTGCATCTCGGGATGACACAACCCTCAATGCGCTGAACACAGTAAGTCTCTGCAAGTCACTCTGGCTCTGGGCATGAATGGTTCTTTGCCCTTGTCTGGCCGTAGGGAACAGTGATAGGCACGGACCGTGTTGTATCCGGCAATTTCTTGAGTGAGCACTGGGCTGTGTTGCTGGAAGATGAATTGTGGTTGAGACTGTGACTCAGTCCTCCAGGTCCATTTCCTGGATCTGCAGTGCCGATTTGTGGAGAGCCATAGTGAGGTCTTCCGGAGACCCACAGAGCAAGCAGTGCTCATGCATGGTCTTTGTGAATCCTGTCAATGCCCCTCAGAAGACTGTATTATTGTCACCTTTGTAGACACAAAACAGATTTAGAGAAAGGAAGTCACAGTCCAAGGTCACATAGTCAAGGTGTGAATCCAGAAGCTGTGCACTTAGCCTTTTTGGTTGGATCTCTCACTGAGCATTTGAGAGTGCATGGAAAGATAGAGAAGAGCCTGGACTTTTTGGGGGTAAACTTCTTTACTTTGGGATTATTTAATGTGTCATATAATTATAAATCAAAGTTAAATCAAAAATGAGATGATATAAATGAGCCCAACGGTGCTCATTTGTTGTACGATGTATCACTGTAGTTGCTGGTTTACTTTAATCTTGTGAGGTCTACTCAGCAGTGCAGAGTAAATGCACACTGCTGTAGGTACTATGATTATTGATACCAGGTTATTACTTTTGACACTTCATTTTGGCCTTTAAATGTCTCTATATTGGATATAAAGGGCTATATTGGAAATTTAGTATATTTTAAAGTTATATGAAAGAATTCCTTTCTGTATGGGTACTGATACCAATTCATTAAGTTGGAAGAAGTAATAATATTTGAATATTTATGATTTAATTTCTGCTATAAGGGCCTACATGGTTATGTATTTTAATATAGGCCATTAGCACGAACGAAGCTGTGCAGTTCTGATGTTTAACCAATGTAATTAAGCCCCACCTCCACCCTGTGAGCCTTTTTTCTTGACAGGTCAGTGTAGTTGGAAGAGATTTACAAGATCATCTGTTTAATCTTTAAATAGATAAGAACTTCAAGCCAGATGACTTGTAAAATGCCAACCATCCAAAAAGCTTATACCCTAGGAAAGAAAATATTCCCATTCCCAGTTGAGGGATTGCTTTACTATACTATTCTATACAGTTTGCTGTTGAGGAAACAGACACACATTTCAGCATAACGTGGTTGATTTTTATCCCTTATCTGTTAGGATTCGGGGGTGTTAACATAATGTTATTATGGCCTCTTGATGTTGAAGGTTAAGTGATCTTGCGGGGGATATGCTCTTCTAAGTAACCGAGTGTTTTATCACAGTCCCCCAAAATGCACTTGTCATGTGTATGTTTCCTCACTGATTTAATAAGTAGCTTGTTTTTTTTAAAAAGGCTCTTATGAGCTGGGGATCTATTTCAATGGCACCATGCCTACTTTGCAAACACAAAGTCCTGAGTTTGATCCCTAGTACTCGCCCCCCAAAAAAACCTCTTAGCCATGGTGACTCATACCTGTAATCTCAGCTCTCAGGGGACGGAAGCAGGAGGAACATGAGCTCAAGTCTAGTCTAGGCCACATAGTGAAACCTTGTTCTGGAAGGAACAGAGCCAGTATTTTTGTGTGTGTATACTGGAGATCGAACTCGGGTCCTTATGCTTGCGAGGCAGGTGCTGGAACCAGTGAGCTAAATCCCCAGCTACAGAGCCAGTTTTGAGATTATTTAACAGATGAGGAAATTGAGGCTTAGAGCTGGGTGATACAATAAGATGATAGGTGCAGTGTCTGTAAGCTTGTACACATTGTGGTGCATACATTCAAGGTCCATCTTTGATGTAAACTTCTCTCTGTTGAGAGTTTTGTGTAGAGGCTTTATAAAAATTCTTCAGAACTGTGCTAATCAGTTGAGTTTTGAATAATGAAGATTTTACTGTATTTAATTAAATGTCTATTTTTGGCTCTTCATTCTTATTCCAACCCCTCTAAAGATTCTGTAGAACAAAATTCTATACAGAAATAATTGCAGCTATTTTTGTCCATGGTCCTTTGTGGCAAGTTCCTTCAGAAGGTTTAGTTAGCACTGCAAGAATGTTTTTTGGTCTTACGAGTTTTTATTTTCATGAAGCTCCTTTCCCATCATTTCCTATTTGTCCTGTCTTGCTGACCCAAGCTGGCTCAGATTGTGCTGTGTGTCACCCTTACACTTAGCCACTTAGGAGGATATACTTGTGTACCGTGTATTTTTTGTGGTCAGTGGAAAAATTTATTGCTGTTTTAATTTTTGTGCTTCCTCATTGTACTAGCTCGAGAGAGGTTTGTTGTAGACATTTCTTTAAGGAAAAGTGAATGGAAATGACTTATGAGAACTTAATGTTCTATTACTTTAGAGTAATAGAAGATTTGAATTGGGTTAAGCAATAAATTAAAAACATACATTTTGTGTGTGCAAAGTATTTATTGTTTTCTTAGAGAATAGCAGTGATTAAAACTAGATTAGGCATTTACAATGTAGAATAAACCTAATTGGTTAGTGTCTCATGTATTTCCCATTTCCTGAGGCAATAAGGAAATTTAAAATATTCAAACATACTTCTTTATGTGGTCTATTTTATATGTACCTACTTGTATAAATGCAAACTCTTGGATTACTTATTTTGGCACTTTGTCTCCATTATTCACGAGGGAAAGCTTTAGCATATAACTTTTATATGTATGTGTGTGCTGGGGATGAAACCCGGGGACTCTTACATGTGAGGCAGGTGCTCTATCACTGAGCTACATCTCTAGCCCAGTATGCAACTTTTTATTTTTTTGGTACTGGGGATCAAACTTGGGACCTTGCATTTGCAAGACAGGTGGCGGAACCACTGAGCTAAATCCCCAGCCCCTACTACACAACTTTTAAAACAACTTTTAAAGATATAATTTACATAGACTAAACTATTCTGATCTAAAGTCCATAATTTGATTTTTTTTCCCCAGAAATATGCACCTGTGAGAGAACTAGCATGACCAAAATATACAAATTTCCACCATTCCCAAGAGTTGCCTGATTCCCAATTATAATCCTTTTCTGCTTCTAGCCTCAGATAGGCCTTGATGGGTTGTCTGTCAATGTAGAGTAGTTTGTCCTAGAATGCTGTGTGAGTGGAATCGTATATGAACACTTTTGGTTCTGATTTCTCTCAGCATACTAATTTTGAGACTTGTTTATGGTGTCTTCTATGTCAATAATTTGTTACATTTTATTGAATTCAGTAGACTAGATAAGTGCTTTCACAATTTTATCCATTCATCTGGTGCTGCACATTTCACTTGCTTCCAAACTTTTGATAACTATGAATAGAGATTTTTCTGAACATTGCTTTAGACTTATATTTTTACTTCTCTTGGGTAGAGTGGCAAGAGTTTTGTGAGTTGGCATCCTTTTAAAAAGCTGTTAAATACGGCCAGGGATGTAGCTCAGTGGTGCTGTGCCTGCCAGGCATGTGCAAGGTCCTCAGTTTGATTCCTGGTACCAAAAAAACTCAAAAAACAAACAAACAAAAAAACCCCACCCTGGTAAGCAGGTTTCTAAAGTGGTTATATCACTTTACATTTTTATCAGAAATATGTTAGAATTTTAGTTTTTTTCCATCCTCAGCAAAAATTAAGGCAGACCTCCTCATTTTAGCCTTCCTAATGGGTGTGTGATGTTATAAAAAATTTAATTCACATTTCTTGATTGTTAGTGATTGTATTAGTCAGCTTTCTCATAGCTGCGATACAATACCTAACACCACGGCTTCAAGAAGAGGTGTAGTTTGGCTCATGGTTTCAGGGGATTCAGTTCCTGGTTGGCCCGTGGTGAGAGGCTGTGTCAGAGCAGAGCTGCTTAGTTTATGGTGGCTATGAAGCAGAGCTGAGAAAGAATACTTGAGCAAATGGAGCCAGACTTGACATAGACTGTAGGACCTTGCCTCCCTGATCCACCCAAACAGATGTAAAAATGTCCTCCACCAGTCCCCCAAGTGGATTAAGTTGGAAAGCCTTCCTAACCACCACCATGATGTTGAGCAGCTTTTCATATATCTCCTTTATGTATAACTTCCTTTTATAAGTTATATGTTCAAATCTCTTGTGCAATTTAAAAGTTGGGCTATTTACCCTTTATAATTTATTATTTAGTTGTAGGAGTTTTTTTATCTTCCGGATAGGAGCTCTTTGATACTTGTTTTCTCCCATACTATGAATTTTTTCAACCCCAATGGTGTCCTGAATATTTTATTTTGCCAAAGTCTAATAGATCATCATTTTCCTTTTATGGAAGTAACTCTGATTACACCAAAGTAACAAATATTTTTTTGTGTGTTTTCCTCTAGAAGTTTTACTTCTTACACTGTGAATTAGTACTCTTTGTGATGCTAGATCAGGTCTGAAAGTTCATTCTTTCCCATCCAGAGAGGTAGTTATTGGAGTAGCATGTGTTGAAAAGACTTTTTCTCATTTAATTGTCTTGACATTTTTTTTTTTTTTTTTTTTTT